TTGTCCGGCCCGCGGTGCGCCCGGGCGGCCTGCCGCAGGGTACAGTGTGCTCTGGTGCCGAGGTCGAGGCCGGGCGTGTAACACGGCAGCGTGTGTGCACATTTGTTGTTCACGGACGGGACACAGGTGCTTCGTTTCACCCCATGCCTGTCAAGTATGTTGATTCCGTCCGATGCTGTCGGGCTCTCTGCTTGGAACCCTCCAGACCCTGCACTTTCTGGGTTTCTTGGTATCTTGGATTTGGGGACTCGCTTTTGGGAGTGACACCGAGTTGGGGTGTGAGCTCTGTCTCTCCCTGGGACGTTGTCTGTGCTGTCACTGACCAAAGCGTGGGGCTGGAGCTGCCTGCCGGGCAGGCCCCTCAGCCCTCTGGCCACCCAGCGAGCCAAGCCGTCCACAGTGGCCGGCAGAGGAGGGCTGCCCAGGAGCGGCCCCCTGGAGTGATTGGGGCTGTCTGCCAGTTTGCCGAGGGCCCCTGCTGGTGACGGCCCTGCTCCTCGTAAAACAAATAAGCTTCTGTGTGATCACGCCCAAGATGTCACCTGGCCTAACTTGGGGAGCCGAGTTGGTGTGGCAGTCACCCCAGCCGGAGCCAGCCCTCTCGCGGCCCAGCCTGCGGTGCCTGTCCCCTCTGCAGGGCTGGTTCCCGCACGTGCCGGTGTGGCCTCGGCGCGCTCTCTGAGCTCTGTATTAGGGCCAAGGCGGCTCCACCCCAGCACTGCTCTAGGTGGGATTGGCGAGAGGGAGGCTGAGGTCTGGGGACAGCGGCCACCTGCCAGCTCCCTCCAACAGGACTTCAAGACAGCAATACGATTTATTCTATCCGAGTGAGGACACGAGGGCCAGCGATGGCCAGCCGCCCGCCCGCCCCGCCCCTGCTGCCGGCCGGCCTGGGCACTGCCGAGGTTACGTGAAGAAGAACAGCTGCTGCTCCTTGTCCTTGTCCAGCGTCCTGTACTCAGATGTCTCCTTGAACTTGAGAGCGGGAGGCCGAGAGCGGCAAAGCAGCCTTCTCCCTCTCTGCAGAGATGGGCCCGGTTAGTGGGTGCTTTGCGTCCTCGCTGGCCCAGGGCACCACGTTGCCCAGGCAGGGGAGAGGCCCGGTGAGCATGGGCAGTGCCTGGTCACTGTGGGCCAGCCCAGCAGCCAAGGACGGGCTCCTCTGCAGCCCTGCACACCCCGGGAGCAGTGCACCTGGCACCAGCCAAGCCCAGAGCGGAGCACCGCTCACTGCCGCGGGGCTGGAGGTGGGCTGGGAGACCAGGCTGTGCTGCGGCCACGTCCTCAGTTATGGGGTCACGGAGAGGGCTCAGCCCCTGGGAAGCAGGCCAGGGTGCTTAGCTCTGGTCTGGCTTTAGGGGTCACACCTGCTGAGCCAGCACATTCACCCCCAGACACAACAGAGGGGGACCAGGGCCAGGTGGTGAGCTCAGCCTGGGCCTGGGACATGCAGGTGGGCAGCGGAATGGCACCAGTCTGCCCCAGCCTCCAGCGGGGAGTGTGCCAGACATCGGTGGGAGAGGGCAGCCCGGGCCAACGGTAGGGGGCGTGGTGCCCTGCTCTCCTGGCTTTGCTCTGAAGGAGATGCCGCTTGCAAAGGGCTGGGGCAGGGTTGACTGCAAAACCGCCCTGCCCAGTCTGGGCACCCTCCTGTCCACCCGCACGGCAGCCCCACCCACCCTCTTCTTGATCTCGGCCTGGGCCCGAGCCCGGGCCCGCTGCATGCGCTCCTCCTGCAGCTGTTTCTGCAGCTGGACCTTCTCTTCCCGAAGCCTGTGCGGGAGGGCTGTGTGAGGCCTGCAGCTCCCTCCCAGCTCCTTCCCACCCAGTGCTGTCAGGCCAGGCTTCCTCTGTGAGAACTGCTGACGGCTCCGCCCTTCCCTGCCAGGTCAGGCCCTGCCATCTGCCCACAGCGGGAGTGCAGTCTGGCTGAGGCGGCCTGGGCCCAGCTCCTGCCTCCCGCGGGGCAACCTGAGGTCTGTCCAAGGAGAGCCCACAGGGGCATGTCTCCCCAGGTCCTGTCCGTGACTGACCCACGTGCCCGGCCCCTGGCGAGGGCAGTGTTCTGCCTCCTGTGTGTACCAGGTCCCTGAGCCGCCAGTGCCTGTTCTGAGCAGGTCCTGGGGACCCAGGGGAGCAACCCCATGCATATGGGACAGACAGGTGGACGTCTGAGGTGCCAACCTTGGGGTGCTGCAGGGGGCGAGGACCAGCAGCCCACAGTCCCGAAGCTACGGCCCCCACCTCGCCGTGGTCCCTCTGCCCAGGTTGAGCCCCAGGGACTCCTCAGCCTCTCTGGTCCGTGTTGGGACAGGCCGGCGCCTGCTGTCAGCTTGCCCTGGAGCTCCTGGAGGCTCCCTGGGCCCTCCTAGCCCGCTGCGAGCACCCCCACCCCGGCAGCCGTGGCAGCCGCGCCCGCCCGGCAGCCGTGGCAGCCGCGCCCTCGGCCTCGGCACGACCCCTCCACCCAGCCTGGCCCTGTTAGGTCCCCTCCCCGTTGACACCTTCCCTTGGTGTCTCCGGGACCCAGGCCGTGCTGGCCACGCCTTCACTTAGCTCCTGGCCTCCTACACCCTCTCTGAGCCTCAGGATTCCACACTGCCAGTCACCACAGCTTCCTCCAGGAAGCCTTCCCTGACCACTCGGCAGCTGAGTTTGAAACCCCTTCTGGGTCCCCTGGCTCCTCCCCCAGCTGGGAGCTGGCTGGTGTGGTGGGCAGGGTGGACTGGCAGCATTCACCTCGTGCGCCGCTCCTTCTCCTTGGCCTTCTCGGCCTGCTCGATCTTGGCCTGGGGCACGCGCTCCAGGTTCTCGAGCAGCTCGTCCAGCTGGTGCTCGATGACGGTCAGCATCTGCACGGTGCCCAGGCTGCCCTCCTGTGGGGCGCCCACGCAGTGCCGGTACACGTCCAGCACCTTGTGGTTCAGGCTCTCCAGCAGCTTGTCCTGTGCGGGAGAGAGGCCTGTGCCGGAGCGGCCTGTGCCGGGGCGGCCCTCGCTCCATGGCTTGCCCACGTCGTGCCTGGGGCCCGCGTCGTGCGGGGGGGGGGGACCAGCCAGTGCACGCCCAGACCTGCCCAGCATGTGGGGGGTGCTCAGGATGCGTGGGACAAAACAGAACTTGAGATGGACTGTCTTTGGCCAGAGCATCCGAGCCTCACCCCTGTAGGCGGCCAGGTCCTGGGTTCTGACCTTCTGAGGGTCATGCCCAATCTCGGCCTCTCACCGGATGCCACCTCCAAGGAGCCCTGCTCCCTAAAGCATGGCGACTTGCAGGGCCAGCCAGGGCATCCCCCACGTTCTGACATAGAGACAGCCCTGCTGTCATGGGTGTGTGAGGAGGGGGAGAGGTGTGGCCACAGGGCTGAGCCCTACTGAGCCTGGTGCACACCCTGGCTGGCTCTGAGGCGTGCTGCCTGCTCCCTGTCCACTGCCTGGCATGTAGTGGGCATGGCAGTGCTGCAGTACCACAGTACCCAGCAGCCTCCAACCCTGACGCTATGAGGAAGGCCAGCCAGGCAGGGAATGCGCTGTGCCGGTGGTCGACCGGTTCCCTCTGGATGCACTCACCCTCCCAGCCGGGCCTCTCTCAGGGTGCCCTTGCTGGGCAGTGTTTACAGAACAGAGAAATGTGTGGAATGAGGAAGTGAAGGAGTAGATGATGTTAGGGAAGCTGAGCTGGTGTGGGTGGAAACTGAGGCTTCCCTGAGCCCGTGGCACCCAGTCAGCGTGCAGCTGGCAGCCTCCAGCCCCCAGCACTGGCCATGTGCCTTGACCTCCATTTCCCAGGGCTGTTGGCTCCTCCAGCAGGTGCCTCAGGGGCCCTTACCCTCCCTGGCCCACATGCCACATGGCTTGTGGCCACCCCCGTCCTGGCCTACCTGCTGAGCACCCTTGTACTCTCCGAAGTGGAAGACTCGGGACTTAAGCTCTAGCTCGGCGGCTGTCTCCTCCTCCTTCATGATGGATGTCATCATTGTGGCGATCCACTGCTTTAGCTGGTTGACCTCCCGGTCCCTGCATGGGGCAGCAGGGCACTGCTCACTCTGGGACCCTAGGCACCTCGCCCCTCTGAGCCAACCAGCCTTTGTACAGAATTGACCCCACCAGCTGTCCTGGCTGCCATGTATCTGCATGTCAGAGGATGCCAGTGGAGTGCAGGGGTGAAGTGCAAAATCTTTACCACTGGGGCACTGAATTTGCACATGGTTGACTGTGGTTCAAGTCCCAGACCTGGCAGCTTAAAAATCATGCCAGGTGTCTGTGTGTGCGTGCCCAAAATACCGAGAGGAGACTACAGGAGAAGGGATTACAGCATGGCCATCCCCCTTGGAGAGTGATTTCTCATTCTCCCTCTCTCTCTTTCTGGTGAGCACATGCTGCCTATGGCAAAAACCTAAACAAATAAATCTGCAAACTGACAAAGAATTAAAAATATCTGTCTTATCAAAGCTTAGTGGATTGCAAGAGAACACAGGTAGACAACTAAATGAAATCAGGGAATTAATACCAGAACAAAATGAAAAATTCAATAGAGAAGTAGAAAATAGGTCCAGCAGGTGTCATGGTGGTTAAGGTACTGGACTCCCACATGGCCGACCATGGTTTGAGTCCTAGACCTGGTGGCTTGTTTTCTCACTTTCACTTTCTCTGTCTCTCTCTGTTGAGTGCCTGACCCTGTAGCAAATTAAATAATAAGTAATAAAAAAAGAAATATAAAATATTTTTAAAATTCACAGCTGAAGAATGCAATGAACTGAAAAAAATCAATAGAGAAGTTTAATATACATCAAGTGGAAGAATCAGTGAATTCAAATATAGGTCATATGAACTTCTGTTAGAGGAGCAAAAGAAGAAAAGTGAAAAAATAAAAGGACTTGTGAGTCACTATCAAGCAAAACATAATGTATACATGATGGGAGCTCAAGGAAAAGAAGGGCAGAAAGCTTATGTAAAGACTCAGTGGCTGAAAGCTGCCCAAGTGTGTGGAGAGAAGTATCTCATCCAGATACCTTAAGTCTGAATGTCCCCAGATAGGTGGAATCTAGAGATAGCTGCATTAAGACACATTATATCCACATTGTCAAAAGGCAGAGAATTCTGAAAGCAGTAAGAGAAAGGCAACACATCATATACAGGGGAAACTCCATGAAAACAACCAGTGGACTCCCACATGGCCGACCATGGTTTGAGTCCTAGACCTGGTGGCTTGTTTTCTCACTTTCACTTTCTCTGTCTCTCTCTGTTGAGTGCCTGACCCTGTAGCAAATTAAATAATAAGTAATAAAAAAAGAAATATAAAATATTTTTAAAATTCACAGCTGAAGAATGCAATGAACTGAAAAAAATCAATAGAGAAGTTTAATATACATCAAGTGGAAGAATCAGTGAATTCAAATATAGGTCATATGAACTTCTGTTAGAGGAGCAAAAGAAGAAAAGTGAAAAAATAAAAGGACTTGTGAGTCACTATCAAGCAAAACATAATGTATACATGATGGGAGCTCAAGGAAAAGAAGGGCAGAAAGCTTATGTAAAGACTCAGTGGCTGAAAGCTGCCCAAGTGTGTGGAGAGAAGTATCTCATCCAGATACCTTAAGTCTGAATGTCCCCAGATAGGTGGAATCTAGAGATAGCTGCATTAAGACACATTATATCCACATTGTCAAAAGGCAGAGAATTCTGAAAGCAGTAAGAGAAAGGCAACACATCATATACAGGGGAAACTCCATGAAAACAACCAGAAAATTTTTCAGCAGCAATCTTGCAGACCAGGACAAAGTGGGATGATATATTCAGAGTAGTGGGAGAGGGGGACAACAACAACAACAAAGGAAGGCAGTTACAATATTCCTGCAGAAACGTTAGCAGCTACAAGAACAGAAATGAAGATTCCACTCCCAGCAAACTCGAGAGCACTGCTCAGACACCTACGTTTCGGACTGAGGACATGGGGGTGAGGCATGCAATGTTCCTGGCATCTCTGTGGGGTCCTGAATTTTCTTTTCCTCTTCGGTTGTGGACTTTTCGTCTTTGGGAATGTGTCTCAGGGTGAGCCCATCCCCTGCACCTTGGGCTATTTTCATTTCTGTTCAGAGGGGTTTGCTTTTCCCGGTTTGTTCTGTCTCAGTCTCCTGAAATTCCACACATCATCTGCTCATGTCCTACCTGGGAGCTGGGACTTCATCCCTTTGTCTCCTTAGCTTTTTCCTCTGAGTCATGAGAGCCGTACCCAGCTTATTGTTGCCACCCTTCTCACGTTTCCAGGAGCGTTCTGTTTGCTTGTCTGTGGAGCTGGAAGTCCGTAAGTCCCACGGCGGGGACTCGGGATGTGCATTGTGCTGTTTTGATGGCATCTGGTCTGAGCGTGATGGGTACCCTTACTGTCCCCAGAGCCACAGTCTCATATCTCCATCTGAGTGGCAGTCATTGGCTGCAGATGGCTGAACCTGCTATGTGGTGAGGAACCTCATGAGGACGGCTTCCAGAGACACCAAATCCTACCAACAACCAGTAAGCTCAGAAAGGAGGCCTTCTGATGCCTGCAGCTCAGCCACCACTGAGGGGCACTCTATGAAAATCCCCACAGCAGAAGACAAAGCCATGCCTGATTCCCAATCCACAGAAACCGGGAGGTGAACGTGTGTTTTGGGTAGTGTGTTACGCAGCACTGGATAACCAATACAGCTGTTTCTAGAACTTCACGTTGGTAATACAGTGGAGATCCTTTTGTGCCTGGCTTTCCTCTCAGCACCAGCGTGCTCCATCTGTGCTGTGGCGTGTATTAGTAGAGCTTTCCATTTAATTGCCGAGTAATGCTCCACGGTGTGTGGCACCCTCCCCAATGTCCATGTCCCAGGTCCCAGAACCTGTGAATGTGTCACTTGACAAGAGGATTTAAAGTTGCGGATGGAATTATGGTTGCTTATCAGCTGGCCTTAAAATGGAACTGTCCTGGCTTATCAGGTGGGCCCCTGTAATTATTAGGGTCCAGGCAAATGAGAGCGAGAGGCAGGAAAGCATCCCCGTGACTCACGAGAGACATCCAGTGGCCTTGCTGGTGTGAAGATGGGTGAGCCGAGAAGTTGCGTATCAGCCCCAGAACGCTTTGGTTGACTTGTGAATTTTCTCATGAAGTCATGCCTTCCGCAAACAGTCCGTTTTCTGCCTCCCTTCCCAATCTACGTATGCGCGTCTTGTCTTACTGTTCGCGCAGTGTTGGGTATGAGGGGAGATGGGATGCTTTATCCAGAGCGCAGTGGGAAAGCGTCCAGGTTTTCACCACTAACTGATGGCAGCTGTCGAGTTTTGTGGGTGTGCTCTAGGAAACGGCCTTCTATTCTGAGTGTCTAGGAGTTTTATCATGAATGGGTGTTGGATTTTTTCGAAGTGTATTTATTTTTCCCATGAATGAGAAAGATGAGGCCTCTCTGTCTCCAATGGGGACTTCAGGCCCTGATCCACCCCCAGCTTTGGCCCCTCTGGGTCATGGGCACACACATGCCCAGCATGGTTAGGAAGGTCTCCAGACATGAACCGGGAACCGTCCCGTGGAGGTCAGTCCTGCGGGCTGCATTGTCCCTGTCCATGGTCAGTGGCACCTGCCCATCCTTCCACCCTACGTTGATTAGAATCAAGGGGGAGGAACGGGCTGAGCCGTCCGCAGCCGCGACTGCCACCTGCTGACACACTCACCGGCTTTTCTCCTTAGCCTGCTGGTGTGGCACGCTCTTATACATCAATTGTTTTAACGTTGGCTCAGCCTTGCACCCCTGGGGTGAGTATAGCCGTCCTAGGACGTTGCCGTGCCGTTTGGCAGTGTTCCGTGGAGGGCCTGTGCCTCTGGCGCGAGGTGTCGGTGCACATGCTTCCTCCCTCGCACCATGCGGTTTGGGCGTGGGCTACCAAGCACTCCCTCTGCGCCCCGCTTCCGGAGATCGCAGAGAAGCGGTGGGATTTCCTCCTCGCGTGCTCTGTAGACTTCCCAGAGAGCCCATGTGGCCCAGGGCTTTCTGCTCTGGAAGGTTCCTAATTACTGACGCACTCTCTGTAACGGATGTAGACCTGTTCAGTGTCCGTCTTCTGTTTCTCACACATCGTGCTCCGACTTTTGCTGGGAGAGGGCCGAGCTTGTGGAAGGTGAATGCATGTGGGCAAAGGGCTGGTGCTCAGGGAGCGGCTCTGTGAGGGGGCGGCTTCCTGGCCAGAGTCAGCTGCTGGGCGTCACCCAGCACTCTGCCGTGAGCCGTGTGTGCTACAGGGGGCCTGGTCCTTGCCAGCTCTCTGGAAAGCTGGGGCTGCCTGCCTCTCCCCGGCTCGTTGCTGTCTGACCCTGCTGCCCCCCTTTCCAGGGAGCGTAGTGTTGCCTGAGGGCTGGTGGTATAGGATTCTGGAGGCCCCCGCCATGGGCTGTGTGCTGGGAGCACTTGCCATGGGCCCCGGGCCTCCTGGCCTCCCTTCCTCCTGAGCTCCTTGTGCTGCCTCCTTCCCTACGGGAAGCTCCTGCTGCGAGCCAAGGTGACACTCTCTCCTGGACCTGCCTGCCCACCCCACGTGCCCTCACCCTGGGCTCGACCTCCATGTCCAGTCTGGGCCTGCTTTGTGCCTGCCACCCTCGAAGGTTGGCTCCAGGAGGGCCGGGCCTTGCCTCACCTTGCAGGGCTTAGATCAGGCCTGCCCCCTGAGCAGGGAGTGATGGGTGGGTCCTGCTGTGGACAGGCCTGTCCTAGTGCCCATGCCCTACCCTGCCCAGCTGTCCTGGACCCCAGCGGTGGCTCCCTGGGGAGGGTCCCAGGGAGGCCTGTGGATCCCCAACAGGAGGGACCCCGAGAGCCTCAGGTAGGCTCAGGTGAGGATGGGACAGTGGTCTGCTGGACCTTTGGTCAGATCCGTGGGCATCTCCCAGGGCCCTGGCCGCCTTGCTGCACTGGACAAGTGGGGACACCTTTCTCCTCCAGGAAGTCCTCTGTGGCTCCTGCTGCAGTACTCCAGGCCCCCTACCCTCCCAGCCTGTCCTGCTCAGGACAGGCCTCTTCTCACCTGTGTCCTGGCTGTCAGGGTAGAAGATGCACTCATGGCAGCCTGGAAGCACAGGGCTCAGGGCCTGTGCCTACCCCGCCTCTGCAGTCTGGGATGTGGGAGACAGGCAGCTCCAGGCCCTCCCCACAAAACAGGTGCTCTGAGCACATTCTGGGCGAAGCACATGGAGCTGCCAGGAAGCCTGGGATCAGGGTCCTGAGGAATGCCCGGCAGAGGTCCTGCTCCAGGGAGTGGTGGGGTGTCCTGTAAGCTCCCCTTGCCAACCCTGCCCCCAGGCCTGCTGGGCTCTGTCCCACCCATAGCTCAGCTGTGGCCAGACGAGGCTTCTCCAGGGCCAGGCCCGCAAACAAGCTCAAAGGGAAGTTTCCAGAAAAGCAAGGCCAAGGTGGGCGGGGGCACGCACAGCCCAGCTCCCTGCACCCTGGCGGTCTCAGTCGACAGCTGGTGGGGCATCCGCCCGCAGTGTAGACCCACATGCGGATCTGGGTGTTCTTCAGGGTGAGGTTGAGCTCCTCCAGGGTCTCCTCCATCTCCTGTGTGTTCTGGATCAGCGACAGGTTCTGCTCCTCCAGCTTTGTGAAGACGTCCAGGAGCTGCTGGGGCTCTGTGAAATATAGCTGCAGCTCCTGGATGGGAGAGAGGGCAGAGGGGAGGGGCAGGGCAGCTCCTGCAGCTCCTGGATGGGAGAGAGGGC